TGAAGGGTGAAGTTCTAACATTACAAAAAGCTGAGGTGAAAACAAGTGTTAAAAGCAATGAAAAGTGTCCACTGCATCTTTCTCTGCTCTCATGCTATATTTGTTTAATCTTTGGAGTTTTTTACTCAGTTCTCCTGTTCCCAGTGAACTCCACTATTGCTTCCTCCTACTACAAGAACAAGTTCTGTTGTGTTTTCATCATGTTTCCAGAATTTTGATATCAAAGGGTGTCACCAGCATCTGTTCTGGGGACATATACTACAAATAGTTAGATAAATAGGCATGTCCCACCGGGAGGAGGCCCCGGGGCAGACCCAGGACACGCTGGAGAGATTATATCTCTCGGCTGGCCTGGGAACGCCTTGGTGTTCCCCCGGATAAGCTGGAGGAGGTGGCTGGGGAGAGGGAGGTCTGGGCCTCTTTGCTTAGGCTGCTGCCCCCGCGACCCGGCCTCGGATAAAGCGGATGAAGATGGATGGATGGATAGTTAGATAAATATTTTAAAAATATATACCTGATTCCTGCTTGCCAGGAGCACTTAACAAACATTAGAATAACTGAACAGCTTTTAGAGTAAGGCAGTAATATTAAGTGTCAAAGTTCTCCATACTATTCCAATCAAAATATCCAAAATGTTTAGTAAAGTAAATACATACATAAATACAAAAAAAGTTTCATACCTGGATTTTTGAAATGTATTCACTAAAAGTGATTTGTTGGAGAAAAAAATCCCAAACCAAGACAAAAACAATTTCACCAGCCTGCTGCTTAGAGTAATGACCCTAATTAACAACCCTACAGTGTGTAATCATGCAGGCACGCATGCTTGCAGGCCACTACATACTCATGTGAGGCAGACGCATATCGTACCCCTTGTGCCCCAACACAAACCACTTCCAGTAAATTAGTGGCAGTAAATGAGGCAGCTGATGCCTGTGTGCTGTGCAGCCTGCAGCTCCCCAGTGGACACTTGACACGGCCTGGGCGACCCCACACTGGGAGAACCTGCACTGTGGCATGCAGAGTGGGGGAGAACAGAAAAGCATTAAGAAAATATGTGAGTGTGGTGCAGTGAAATCACTGGTACTTACGTGTATTTGTTAACATTCTTGTTCTCATAAATATATGAACATATTTCTAAATGTATTCATTATCTGTAATTGCTATCATAAAGTGAAACGCAACAGTACGTGAAAGCTGAGGTTTACACTGTGTGTAAGTGATCTCATGGGTCACTGAAAGGAACCCGTGGTGTCGTGTTTACACAATAAGATGGGTGCACTGGTGAACTGAAATGTCTTGTTAGACCTAAACAGAGAAGCCACACAGACCTCCCATATTTCCATCCTTCAGATTTGTAGATGAAAATACAAAACATTAGCCATTCAGATTTTTAAAAAAAGAACCTTTTTGCTACAATATAAAGGAATAACATGTCTTGTACATGTACAAAATCTGAGTTAATGTGGTGCTGTTTAAATATAAAACGCTGTGTGAGGATATATTTTGGCATTTTGGTAGTATTTCAAATAAAATTGTATATTGTGGCGAAACAAGACTAATAAATACTGTTTCTAACCTACAGTATATCCAGCTGATGAAAAGGCAAAAATGGAGCAGGTGGCTTGTGTTATCTTAGCTGAGTCTCATACCATTCATAATGTTTTCCTGTAACAAAACATTGTGGCTGAAAAAGCAGAGCTAATATTACCCGTGTGCAACAGCTGAAACAGCACTGAGTATAAATGTATGTCTGGCATCACCTCACTGCTGATGTTCTGTTTGTTCCGGATAATTTAATGACAGGAGCCTTCAGCTCCTCCCTGGTGTCTTTTTTAGGCTGTTAATTAGCAATAAATTGTGAAGCTGTTTGTCCACAGAGGAAACTTCACCCGTGTTACGTCTGAAAGTGACCGACAAATGATTTACTGCTGTTTCAGCACACATATGATATGTTACACATGTGCAGACATAAACACGTACACATGCATACTCAACAACCATAAACAAATGCATCGCCAGATAAAAATCTAGTTACGATTTTGTGTGGATTTTAGTTTAAACTATGTGTGAGCAGATAATTCACTCGCTGGATTCTAAAAACTGGATTTAGGACCAAGATAATTCATTTATCCAGCGTGAATCAGCAAACACGTTAGCAAAAACAAACTCGTGCATAAGAGCAGCCATTGTGTTCATACTCGCCAGACCGTGTCATACCTGTGGTTATTCAGTCATAAAATACAGGGGCTGCCTCTGAGACTGGAGGAGCAAATCGCCTGTAGCCATATTTTTTGCTCTGTAATGATTAGTCATGTTTCTTTCTTGAATGTGACCGTACTGCAGCCTGATGCCAATGAAATTAAAAGTGATTAATAATCAAAGTAATGCTCCCTTTATGGCAAAATATATTGTGCTCATACTAACAGAGAAAAAAAGAAACATTTACAAGGCCGGGAGTTTGTATTAATCAGATTTGTAAAGTTTAGTGTTGACATCAAATTTCAGGAAACAGTGGAAATTGTTTGGTTACTAGCGTAACGCCGGTTCTCTGTAAGCTTATTGCGGTATCTCGTCATCCAAAAATTACATGTGATAAATGATGATAGAGGCATCGTATTGCATTGTAGTGCATTGTAGTGCATTCCAGCTCAATTTCAAAATTCCTAGTCAGAATTTCCAACTGGAACACCCCCTCAAATCAAATTTCCAACTCGAATAGTTAGAGCAGCCCCACCAACACTGACTTAACAAGACATGATGGCAGTCGTGAACATATGCAGTAGTAAAACAGTAAAGATTTAAAACTGTACAGCCACTATTGTGTATTTCTAACTCGATAAATAAACCATACGCAGAGCTCTGACTAGGCTCTTTCCATGATCACGCTGGAGATCTTTTACGTGCAAAAAAGCATCATTGCGCTGTATTTCTTGTGATGCATGAATAGTTCTACCTTGCTAGGAAGTAAAACAACTGACTTTGCTACTAAAACTTGCTCAATTCATGAGTGAAATCACTCACAGCTCTGAAACCCGATCTCTGAGGTAAATGAAATGCAGCATTAGTCCAGAATGTTTGAAATGAAATATGTTTACAAGGTAACGTGTTTCCCAACCTTACGGATGGTACAGAAAGGATAAAACACAAGTTACAAGTTGGTCTTTTAGGGAAACACTAAATATCTTCTTTCTTGAATGGAGTTTTTTCCTTAAGGAAATAGTCACTCTTTATAGGATCTTCATTTTTTTGAGTCCATTATGGCACATCACCAAAGGACTCCTTATGCCAATCTCTGATGCCAGTATCACTGAGTAAGGACTCTCGGAAGAACAGAGTGTGATCGTTCTTCAGCCAAAGTGAGTGTGTGGGCAATTGCCTCAACTGTTAACCCAAACTACATGTTTCCAGCCAGCTGTCCTGTGGTATTTGTGCCACAATGTGGGTTTAGGCATTAGTAGGATAGGTCTTTCACTCCAAACTCATTGCATATGGGTGCACCCTTGGCATCACATTTAAATGCAATAGGAAAGTGTTATTTTTCAACATGCGTTTCCTAAACCTGTCCAAGTAGATTTTGGTGTCTAAACCTAAACTAATAAGCAAGTGAGAATGAAACAAATCAGTGAGTGATAAGTGAAACCAAGCTCTCAGACAGGACACAACCTTTGGTCTCTTGGCTGACGTTTTCTTAATTCTGCTGTTTTTTAATCACCTGAAGGTGAAACAAGAATGATTCATTTCTTTTGCTTCCACTCAATGTGATTAATTTGAATTTTGGTGCCATTTGAGGCATTATCGCTCTAAAAGAAGGATGGAATGAAAGAGGTCAAAGTTGTAACAGCATACTTAAACATCATTAAAGCTGTTTAGCTATTTCTGAGGGGAAAATAAACATTGAGTTGTAAACTCATCCTAATACAAATATCATATCGCATATAATATCACAATGTTTAGACTTTATGAAAACAGAATTCTTCTCTGGGCAGTGTGAGAGCATTGTAAGAATGGTCCTGCTTACTCTGTCTGATCTCTTCCAGGGGAGTTTGGATTAAACAGGTCAGGGTGTGGAGATCAGCAAAAGACCCTGAGGTCAAAAGTCAGCAACAAGAAAGACCTTTGCATTCCAGCTGAATGCTCCACTCTACGCACGTGCAGACACACATGCACTTTACCACTGAAACGACACACAGACTGTTCTATTTTTACCCAGAAAGGTTGTTGATGCAGCATTATTTCCTAAAACCTGCAACAAATCCAAAAAAGGTCATATTAAGCAACTAGAATAATAAGAATCTACTACAGCTACAAAATGTGTTGTGATTTTATCAGTAATGTCTCCCCAGACGACCTACGTGAGAGCTGAATCAACATTAACTCACAGGAAAGTGTGCTGTGTGAACACTTTTAATGATGTGGTTTTTTCAGAATTCTTTGGTAGGTTTGTTATCTACTGTAACCATTTATTAAAATGTTTACACATCATAAAATTATGCATATTGGGTTTTGGCAACCACATTCCTGGTATCTCAAACCCGGTATGTCATGAAACAATGTGGTGTAATTATACGCTCCATTTAGGCAAGATTCTTAGAAGCATATATGGTTAATACCGAAGATCAACACTTATTTTTATGCAATGACTGGCATGCTTTTCTCTTTAGCCAGATGACCGACACGAACAAGCAGTTCAGCAAATACATACAATTTGCTGAGCTCGTGTTAAAACACTGGTTTATAAAACTGCAGATGCTCCTCAAATAAAAGGGATAACATGTAAAGGAATGAAATAAGTAGCTGCTGAAACACTGGAATAACACAGGATGAATGCTTATTTTAATTACACTCTCTAGGTCAAGGTTTATTTAGGAATGCTTACAAGTGCTAAGAAAAATCAAGCGAGTTTCCTGTGTGAATCACTCCGTGGCATCAAGTATCATGGAAATGCATCATAGCCAAGCTATCGTGACTATAATCTTTTTTTCTCCTCTTTTTCCCAGAGCACCCCCGTTGTTCCTGAGAAAGAAAAAGCTGGTAAGTGCTTGCTGTTTTTTCATTATCATTTGTGCCTGCCTAGATGAGAATCTTATTATAATTTTTTTTTTTTACCTTGTTCATTTTTCGGTCACGTAGAAGTTGTGAAAGTTGTCTTCAGTGTGTCTGGTCTGCGCCTAAAGTGGTTTATGTGAGGAGATTCTTGACAATTTGCGATGGATCCGTTGCAAAGTACTGAGAGAGAAGGTGGAGTGTTTGACTGAACAAGGACAGACTGTGGTGCTATGAGGCTCTGGATATGAGTGTAGATAAGATCCTAGACTCATCTACGAAACCATCAAGCCTGTCGCCTTTCCGAGATAAGAGCCAGACTGGATGTCGAGTCTGTGCCCAAAACTTTGAACCTTTCCCTCGTTTACCTTTTGCCCTCACTTTCCAGACTCTGTATAAAAAAGAAAAATGGGGGAAAAAAGCAAATAGAAATAATGATCTTATATCAAATACATACAGCAGCACACAAGTTTCTCTAAGCAATATTTATCGAATAATTTAGCAATATAAATAATCTATTCTGAATGAATGAATCTGATGAAAAGACTTATTTCTATTGACATGTTATATCATTACATTGCAATTCTCCCAGTGGGCCACTTTATTATGAATCGAACTAAAGAAAAAACTCAAATCTGTAGTGAATGCTCCCTCCACTCTCTATCACATAGTGCACAGGAAACTGTGGATGTACAGACCTACTTGCAGACAGACGGCAGGGGAGCAGTGTTCATTAAACACACACACACCCCCCCCCCCCCCATGTCGTCAGTATGCTGGTAAACAATACCGGAGAGGTGGTTCGACGTGGGAGATGAGGCTTTCATATTGCCCCCTGCTGTCTCAAAGCCTGATGAGAGTCCTCACTCAGGCTTGCTCTGTCTGTCCCTTTCTCTCTCTAATTAATACCACTATTGAATGGAAAATGTCCCAAATATGTCCTTGTGTCTGTGTGTGTGTGCATGCTGTGCATATGTGAGTGCTACCTGCATTCTAAGTTAAAGCTTGGGGAAAAAAAGTACTTTGGCAGCTTCAATGGGGTCAAAGTCTGTTCTTCATTTTTCTTAAATTAAATCACTCTGACTCCCTGTAAGCAAGTTATGTAACCTCAATCTTTGCGTCTGTGTGATAGGGCCCGTGGATGTGGATGGAGGGGGAGGATGGGGTTACAATGGGAGTTTTTTGGGGGGGGTCGGCAAAGCCCAGTGTTCATTGTGGCACTTCAAAGCCCTCTCTGTATCGCCAGCATTTAAGGCCTCTTGGAATGACACATTTCTGACAGTGTTACATCACACGCCATGCCCTGAAGGCTCCTGCTGCACTGCTATGAAAGACAGCTCATTCATGGTTAATTTTACTATGTGTGCAACAACAGAAGCTCACTAGTGATCAACAAGACGTTTCCACAGTCCATGCTCCCTAATGGCACGGTTGATGACCTGCCTGTGGCACTGGATGTACCTTAGCCAGTGTTATGGCTTGGCTGCGCACAAAGACCATGTGTCTGTTGCTCTGCAGAGCTACAGCTCCTGTCCTGCTGGTTATTGCCTGATTTTACAGGGCCTGCAAAGCACCAGTTAACTGTAATAGCAAGAAAAGACACAAGACATACCGCATACCATTGGAGGATAAGGACAGTCATGATGAGGTGAGAGATGCAATGTGTATGTTATGCTGCTGAAACTAAGAATACACTCAGATTTATTCATTTATTTATTCATTACCACAAATGTATTATTACTATAACAAAGAGGCAATTTTTGTTAAACAAAAAAAGGCTCTGTTTATCCTCAGAGGCAACTTTTTCTTGGATAAAAGATAGGAAGCTGACAGACTTGCCTCGTGGAGTAAAAACACAACAAGGAAAACAGCAAAGACAGCCTGTATTGGAGGATTTAATATTTTTAATGCTTTCTGCTGTAGGCCTGAACACTACAAGCACTCCTTTATCTGCTCTTTATTTGAGCAGGTTAAGGTAGCACATAGTTGGTATGGCTGGGTGAGGTTTAACAACTAGGGTTAGCTACTGTGAAGCTTTTCTTACAGTACTATTGCATCATCTGGGAGTAACCTTTATTGCCAATTTATGACTTAGAAATGTCGTAGACATCGCCCTCCATGTCATAACCAGAAACTGAAATGTGAAAGCAGAAAAACATAATTGTTTATTATAGCACTTGGTTAAATCCGTATCCAGTACAGTAATGATAATTATCTTACTGAAAACAAATCTTTTTTTTACCAATATCCTACATTATTTGATTACCTATATTTCATAATTTGCAAGCTAAAGAGAAAATAGCTAACAGCTAAATGATGGTGTTTTAATTTTTGAAGACAGAGAAGACAGAGTGTAGCAGATAGAGCACAAAGTAACAAAAAAAGCTAAATGTTGGCATTTTTATTGTTTATGATTCAAACAACAGCTTCTGTTATTTGAACCAGTGACAGTGGTCTTGCCAAAACAAGATAATATGTGCTGCCTACAAAATGAAACGAATCCAGGTTCTTTGCTGAATGGGATCCAGATCCACAATATAACTTGATATCCAAACTAAGTTTGATAATAATAGACACTGTTGAGGGTAATAACACACAAGCTTAAACTGAATGTTCACTGATGTGAAAACTTGCAATGTTGTAAACATGTCAGAAATCCACGTTGCAGATTACTGATAGCAAAGTCGGTCTGTCTTCTGTGTTTTTTTCTTGGCTGTAGTTGAGTTTAGAGGCACCATGATCTGCCTAACTGATCTAAATACAAACCAGTGCAAATATAAAACACAATGATGGGCATCCAACCAATAGCAGGGTCAAATCCCGGCTTCTTACCTGGACCTACATGTCTTGGCTAGCAGTTGGCGATAAGAAGAATAAGGAAACTGGAGGGTTAGATACCCTCAGTGGGATTCTTCATGCTCCGACTGTGAATAACTTGCCTCATCATGTCTGTCTGGCGCTGTTTTTTTTTTCCTGTTTCCCTGTTAGTCACTATTCTTTCCAGTTACAGTGATGTTACTGGTATTTACGGCTGACGGTAAGATAATTGTTTATTAGAAGTGACCTGAGCGTTAAATTGTGGGGAACCCAGAATGAATCATTAGAAAATCTCACATAAAAAAACTCCCTTTTGAAGGCACAGCCGTCTGGTCAAGTGAAAAGATATCAGCGTGTGGATAAAGTCAATAGTTTCTGATCTGTAATGTCAATATGATTCATGTGAAGATTTGAATCTGAAAGAAGCAGCTAAAAAGATGTTTTAACTATATTTAATAGTTTGACTTATACGCCACCAAATCACAACAGCAGTTGTCTCAAAGTGGTCTATTATATTATAAGTAATACACTTTACAATAAGCGAAAAACACCACACCAAGCAGGTGACCCCTGTGAACAAGCACTTGGTGACAGTGGGAAGGAAAAATTCCCTTTTAAGAGGAATACACCTTCAGCAGAACAAGGCTCAATAAATAGACAGAAGGCTTATTGTGTAAAAGAGACAGAACTGATCCACTCATCTAATAAAACGGGGGGGGAAAAGAAATTTAAGTATATTTTTCTATTTTTTTTCCTTTAGTAGAAGTTCTTAGAAATATGGTGTATCTGTGAGGAATATGTGACAGACTTAGTCATCTGTGCAAACAAGTAAATCAGTCCTCTGAGCACAGATGGTGTCTTAAGGATCACGTTTTCTCTGCAGATCTTGTGACTGATCATTTTGGCTCCAACAGACCACGTTCCCACACAGCGTCCCACTTAATTCAGAGAACATCACAGTTAGCAGTCCTGCAGCGCTGCCCTCTTAACGGCAGCGCTGTCATCTGAGAAAGCGCTCTGACAGATGTAAACAAGCTCTTCGTATTTGGAGCCAAGTCAACAGCAGCTCATGACTGATGTTTGTTTTCTGCTGCTTGTTCCTCTTCTTTAATTGAGTCTGCCTTATCCCACTTTTTGCCCTCCCCACTTCATACCAAGTACAGGAGTCAATGTGTTTGTGCAAGGTCACATTCCTGGCCTCCCCCATCCGTCTCTGATGGCCTAACCCCCCCCAACCAGCCCCTCCTCTCCCCTCCCATTTGACACCCTCTCCTTTACTTCCTGTATGGAGACTGGTAGTGTAACATACTGCAGCTGAGTTGGTTTATATTTCAAACTTTTGAGTTGAGGTGGAAAGATTTACAACTGCAAATCACAACTGTTCCCTTTGAATGTACATAATCCAGTTTCCTCATGCTTGATGTCAAAGGATATCTGGGATAGTTTGGAATTTTAAAAAAGTTTGGAAGCATTTGATCTTTCACTGTTCTGCTACTTCAGATTTCTGGTTGAATCATATTGTATTACAGTAAGTGTTCCTCCTGTGAATTTTGAGAGCTCTTTCTTTGGGCATCCATCTCCTTTACTGTAAAAAGGAAACCACACATGAAGGGGAATTTACAACAGGAACTCCTCCTGAAACTCCCGAACCTACAACAACAAAAGTCTCCCCTGTTCTATAGAAATAAGCCAGAAGAGGTGAAAGAGGCCTTGCGTCATCAGTCTTATTATAGCTGTTCAACAGCTATTGATTCAGTACCCACAGTACATGCAACGTATGTAGAAGAAGAAGACTATCATGGAAGCTGCCGAGTAAATGTTCTACATGGATGGTGAGAAATTTATATTTGTCACTGATTTTTTATTTTAGTTTTTTGGTAATGGGTTTAGGCTTGATCCCAGTCAGAGACACAAATCCCTTTGGGGTTGCATCAGGAAAAAAACATCAGCAAAATCAAACATTTGGAGCTACCTGCTGTTGTGACGTAAAAAAAATTGTCTTTTTTTAGTTTTTTGGATAAAGAAACCTTTGTGATATTAGTTGTATTTTATTTTTAATGTCACCATTTATAGAAACTATTTGCACTTAGCATCTATGGTATGATGCAGTCTTGGCTAATAAGCTACACTAAACAATCTCATGACATTAGGTTAAGGTTGAGGTAATAAGTGCTGTTGTGGTTTAAAAAACACTCTCTGACCTTTCTGGCACTTACCTTCTACCTCCCTGTGTGAAGGGCCGGTAACAGGTGTAATGTGGGTAAAAATTTCCATTTGGCGGGTAATTCTCTGAGGTTGTCCACCACAAAGGTGAGTAAATGGAACAGGGTAACTGCAGAGAGTGTATAGAAGGTCGATAAACATCACATGTTTAACAAAACCATCAAGTTGGTTTCATTCTTGAATACATTTAATAGCGAAGTAGATTTATATAAATTATACAGGTCCTTCTGTTTGTTCATAATTTGTTTCAAATAATGACCATGTCTTTAAGGTTGCATACATAATTATTACCTAAATATCTTTGTAAATGTATGTATGTATGTAAATTTGATCTCTGCGATGCTTAGCCAGTGGATTGGCTTGTCTGTCTCTTGGTCAGGAAACCAAAAAGTTAGTTTTAGACATCGGATGTGAGAATATTTTTTGCAAAGGCTTTCATCACATGAAATAGATATTTTTTGGTTTTTGCTTCAAATAAGAAACATGGATAAGTTGGGAGGTAACTAAGTAACCAATTGATGCCATTCTGGATATGTCACTCCCTATTCTCCTTATTATCATTTTCAAAGAGGTGTATATCCTCTTAAATATATTCTTTATCTTAAATAATCCTGGAGGAATTTTCATCCATAGCCAGGAGGTTGTAAATCTCCCCAGTGATGATGGTGTAGCATGCCAATGCTGTCCCGAGGCTAATGAATCAGTCCTGGCTCAGCAGGCTCTGTCACTCCCTGGCTGGTTTATTCCCCTTGTTTGGTTGTCAAGGAGAGAGACTGAGGTTCACTCAGATTCTCACTCAGTCGGTGGATTTTTTTCTTTTATATATCTTAAGATGTCGGGGGTTTTTTTTTCGTGATTTCGGAAACTTCATTTTTATACCTTGAATTAACTGGTAGCTAGCATGTGAGGGAGTGTATAGTTCTGCATCTACATCATAACCTACGCCATAACTGGAACTCCATTTTAACCCTACGCAGCAAAGTTCTGCGTAACCTGACGAACACCTCCTGAAAATTGTATCTACACGTCAGGTCAACGCGTAGCACAATGACTAGAATGCCGTGGAAGTTTGCAATGTGGGGACAAAAGAAGTTTCCGGTTACTATGCAAGTTAGGATGTAGGTTTATCACAGAAGTCTAAATCAAGCTTAAGAAATCAAGTGGGTGGTCACATCAAAGGAACTTGCACACAATTACAGTCACACTGTGCCACACACACACACACACACACACACATAACACATCTTTGGCTTTTCTGCAATGGGCGTATTGTTTTTCATAGACATTTTGATGGAAGACCCTGGCATACTGTTCCTATGCACTGTTTGAAGTCTTCCCAAAGCACAACACCCCTGTCTCCATATCTGGGTCAGTATGTTGGCATGTAACCCTCTCCAGACTGTATTCTGTGGATTCTGGTATTCGTGCACACTCCTGGCAGGCTGTTTGACAAAGAAGGCATTTGGCAGAGCTTTCCTTCCTGAGGTGTGAGACTTGCATTGTTTTCTGCTTCAGCATATTTACCCTCATATCCAGGTTACAGTCTGCGTATTGCCCCCTATCACAGGTATACTGGAGACAGAGAGGGAAAGTCCACCGATATGTTGTGATACACACACACTGACCCAGATGGTTTCTGTTTGTGTCCTGGTGTACGCACACAAGCGCACTCGCCTGAAAACAACAACTCATGTCATGTGAGTCAAACCAGTGTGTGAAGGAGGAACGGAAACTCTGATACTTCCATAGTTTCTTTTTCTTTATCACGCCCTAATCCTTATTTATTAGGTTGTCCAGGACGTCAGTCCACAGTTGTGGGAGCATGAACTAAAAGGTTGTGAAAAGGTTAAGATGCAACAATCCAACGTTATGAGTCTCAGCAAACCCCGGGAGACCATAAAGTCAACTGGCCGTGATGAGCACAATGCTATCTTGAAACTGCAATTAGCCTAAGCATTACCTTCACTTGCTGAAGCAATCAGCATGACTGGCTGATCTTTCTCAAGTGTGAGCTTAGTGTGAAATGTAACAAAATGCAGTTTAGCAGAACACAAATAGTCACACACACACACACACACACACACACACACACACACACACACGCACACACACACACGAGTATGAGACTGTTGGGCCTAAAAGACGATAGAGTGTTTTTAAGTTCAGTAAACTGTGAGAAATTAACTTTTTTTCTGGGTGGGTGATTATTTGGGGGCTGCATAACAAACTGAATGCAAATGAAATTATTATCACCTTATAATATATTTTTCTGCAGTCTTCTTTCTGGTCAAACAATCACTGTTTGTCTTGTCTTTTCATTATCTTCTGAAGAAAATATGTTGCGCTTTAGCTGCTAAATTCTCCATTGCAATCACTAGCTTGTTGCTTGCCTTTGTACTGAAAATAATGTCCTGTTGTAGCTGGAAAACACAGTTATCTCACTTAATACTGACTTATGAGTCATTCAAGCACAACTTTGGCTCAGGTATGACACATGACACAAGAACTGGACTGAAAACCAGTGGCAACAGTTTTTATGTAGTGATACATCCAAGTCTTTGAAACAAATCTTTATCACAACAACAGGTGAGGTCCGGAGAGAGGTACAACAGAGCCTCTGCAGCCATCTGTAAAACATGGCGAAGCCTGTCGTAGTTTGGAGCTGCATTTTAGCCAATGTTATTGCAAGTCTTTTTAAAAGTTATGGGATTATGAACACAGAAAACCACATTATGATTTTGATCTATAACACAGTACCATCTGGAAAACATCTGATTGGCAACAGCTCGATTTGTCAGCATGACAATGATCTCAGAAAGAAAGAAATCTGGAGAACTGTTCCTGAAAAGATTACAAGAAAGATAGGTTGAAGAATAAAGGTGGTCATAACAAATACTGCAAGTATTTCCCAGTTTCCTAGCAAGCATGCTAATGGATGCATAGGAGGTCATTTGGGATTTTTTGCCAAAGGGCAAATAGAGAGTAGAGGAGCCAGGTACCAAACTACTAACCTTCTAATTAGTGAATGACCCTCCACCTTTTGAACCACAGCCCTTAGTTTATTGATTGGTGAATTTACAATTGCAGTTTATGCAAATTGGTGAATCTAAAAGCATTCAATTAAAAAGAAGTTACCATTTCACATATAGGTAACACTATGAGCCTTTTTTAATGTAAAAATAGAGTACTAAGCATTAACATTAAAAACACAGCGTAGCTCTCGTGCAAGTTTGTGTTTTCTTTGTCTTTACAGCATTTTATTAAATTTGCATGAAATATTAAAACCATTTAAAATGTAATAACAAACTTTTATTTGACTGAAAGGCACATTCCTATTTAGATTTTATCTTTCAAAGGCTTAAAGTAGCCCCACCTTTGCAATGTGACACCAAATCAACACCAAAAAATAAAAGAGTACAAAAATCAGTTTAAAGTTTTCGAAATGTTACTACAGCTTCTTTTTTTAAATTCAGCCAATGCTTAAGCTTCCTCGCTGATCTCAGAGAGTTGTACTTGCTAAATAGAAGCCAAATCATGATTATCCGATCAACACCGCAGTGGTACAAGTAGTAACGGATTGTATTATGCTGTTTTTGGCCATTTCAGAAGCTTAAGTTTGGTTATGTAAGAATCAGCAGTGCATGTGTGTTTCTCAATAACTAATAGAATTTACTTGAGCTTGTGTTTATGGACGTGTGTGTTTGTATGTGTTCACTGTATGTTCTCGTCTGTCCATAATATATTTACAGTAAGTCATGCTATGAGTCGGACGGTTTAACACAGGATTGGCTTAGGAAAGTGATTATTGACTGTTGGGAATGACAGAAGTTTTTGTGGTCAAAGCAAGTTAAACTCACTTTTTTTCACTCTTTAATTGCTTCTAACATTTTGTCCTCTCTGAGTGGATCTAGATGTTATCCTGCACCCCTTCATTGCCGTCACTTCCATTTCGTATTATTTCTTTAAGATGAGGGCAGGTGGAACTTCAGAACAAGCATGCTGGCTTGGAAATACATTATATAACAGGCATTGATGCTCCTTGTGTCTAGACAGGGAAGGGCAGGTGTAAATAGACTGGATGTGAAGGAAGGTGGAACAGTTAAGAGGCAAAAATAGAGAGACATACAGGATAAAATGCAAGTCGTGACTGTGACCCACTCATTTATTCACAGAGAGGGATGAAGCTTCTGTCAGAAAGCACTTACTCACCTTAACACACAGCACTACACACACACACACATACACACACTCTGGCAGAATAGAATATGAGAGCATTGCAGCACTGGCTGGATGTGTCCCAGCAGTTACCGCACTGATGCCTGCTGCAGCAGACGGGAGTGTACAGTCCAGACTCGAACAGAACAGAAGGAGAAGGAGAAGCAGCCCAATGCAGAAGATAGCTCAAAACCAGGTAGATGCAGAAACTAGTCAGATTACGCTTGGATATTTGAGCACTGATGATAGTGATGTTTAAGCTATTCCAGATAGATATTATCCAATTAACTGACGAGAGGGAAATGCACAAAAGCCAACTTAGTCAGGAATAAGTGTGCAGATAGAGTGGGAGTCTGACATTGGTAAGCTTAGGTGGATCACCATGTCTCGCTCCATGAGGCTGCTGCTACTGCAGAGGTCCTTCAGTGACCACATCAGGTCCTCTACCTCCAAAGCCCTAGATATGCTCAGCAAGCCCGCTCGAGAGGCTCGTCTGGCAGGTGAGTGGCAAAAGCATGTTCGTGTTGTTGCTGGTTCAGTGTGCACATCCTTTCTTCTCGTTACTTTCCTCTTAACGGTTTGCATATATGAATGTTTAGATACAAAACATACATGTGTAGTTTATCATCTCTAAGATGATGCGCAACATTATGACAAAAATGCATTGTCATTGTCTCAGAGAGGAGGCAGGATTTATGGCCAGGCTTCTGTAAAGTCAGCTGTATTTCTGACAAACAGATCAATAGAACAACAGCTGACTGGGATTTAATGGATGGGTGGGGTACTGAAGCTCAGAGAAGGAAACAAGCAGTTCGGATTGTTTTGACGGGTTTGTGTCATGTTTAGAGCTTTCTCGTTTTTGGTAGATGTTCGTGAACCTGGCTGATGCTTTCTTTTTAAAGAGAGCAGTGTTGCTGTCATACCTACTCTGTCTCTCTAGTGACCAGGTTTGGCCCATGTATAACTAATGAGTTGGTTATGCACACATAGGACTGAGTCCATTAGAATAGACTTCCAGGTCTCTGGTAAGCTTGCTTTTAAATAATACAAATAGTCCCTGATCATATAAAAGCAGCAGCACAGAGAGTGCATTTACAGAGATGCTCTTTAGGAATGCTGGCCCCAGATGGCTGACATCCACTACAAGTTCAGGTCTTTTCAAAGTGCTTTTAAGAAAAAGGTATCTTTATTTAAGGCCACATTATGTCCTTGCGTCATGTTTAAAATCTGTGTTCTTTGCAACTCAGCTCGGTTGTTGGATGTGCCTTTTCAAAGGGGGTCACACAAAATCCCCATCAATCCAGAGGTGAGTGCCCTGTGGACCTAACCTCAGTAGAAGTAAAGAGCACCAGGTAATAAATATCCATCGACAAACACTTCCAGATATGTCTCACACTGCAGCATAGATCACTATCTTACATGAAAGAGAGAAGACTAGAGAAGTAGGCTAAAGAATTATGACAGGATCTAATTACAGCTCTCCTGTTGTGACACTAATTTCTCCCTTTTGTTTTTTCAATACACGTCACTTCCTCAAGATTTAAGCTCAGTTTTAAGGCTTTCAACAGCAAATGTGTATGTAATTAACTTTTGACTGTGCGTGATGTCATTCATGACATTAGTGTGCAGGAACATGTTGTTCTGAACCGAAACATTCATAGTTGTGCCTTAGTGTGTTTGGAACCAAACAGGCTTAACACGTCTTCAGCCCCTTAATGAAGCTTTAATGAAAGTTTTCTATAATCTTTATGTGTGAGTCCAACATTTTCTCTTGCTGTGGGAGATGACAGCATTTCAACAAGACTCTTTTTAGTCCCTTGTAAAATGATTTCTCATCTAAATTGACCTCTAGAGGACAAAAGATGGGTAAGATGATATTTATTTACTTTAACTCATGACAATGACTTGATTTTGGTCTGTAAACC